CCGGCAATTGAAAATGTATTCGTCTAGGCGCGCGCCGGGCGCGCGCCGGGCGCGCTAGGCTTATTAAATTTATTGTAATTTAATAATATATTAATAATAATAAGTGCGTATTCGTCGTCGTAGGCGCCGGGCGCACGCCCGGCCACTGTCTCCGAATATACGGACCGCTCCTTTTATTCCGACGACGACTCAGCGGCGCAAACAAGGTCTCAATTTAGTCGGCGGGTCACTCGCAGCCTGCCAGCCTGGGGGGTCATCCAACCAGTCTTCAATGCGCCAAGTTGACGGGAAGGGGGCAGGGAAAACTCCGCCCTCAGTCTGAATAAATTTAGTCGACGTCGTCGACTTAGAAGCTGCCGCCGAGTCAGTTTGGACTGCGACGTCGACTGACTCTGACCTGAGCCTGACAGGCTCCGGGGGCTTAGTCGCATCATCGTCATTGTTGGGGGGGGCAGCGGTGTCAGTCGACGAGGTCCGCTGCCTCCACCTGGCCCACCCTGAGGGTCCTGAGCGGCGGCTCCCCCCCGACTTAGCCTTAGGCTTGGGCCTCTTCGGCTTATTAGTCGGCTTGGACGACGACTTAGACTTAGCAGCCGCTGGTCTGGCCGCCGCCATGTGTGAGACGAATGACTGGGTCCGGGAGGCTGACTGACGGCGGATGGCTGGGCTGAGCCACGCGACGACCAGCGTCGACGACGACGGTCCGGACCGACGACAACGACGCGACGACGACTCTCTCTCTCGACGACGACGACGTGACGACGACGACGACGATGACGACGACGACGACGAGCTGCAGCCGGCGGCGGCGGGACTTTTTAGCTAATTCATTGCGGCGTCGGTCTTGGTCTTTGTCAAATAAATAGTCTTGCGGCGACTGTCCGTAGACAGTCGACTCGCGTCGCGACTGACAGACATGGTCCGTAGACACTTGACTCGTCAGTCGGAGTCAGTCTGTCAGTCAGTCAGGCGCGACTGTCCGCCGTAGACAGTCACTCGGCGGTCGTGACTGACTGTCCGTAGACAGTCACTGTCTGTCACCCGCGCGACTGTCCTTAGACAGCGCGCGAATGACTGTCCGTAGACGCCGACAGTCAGTCGCTCAGCTCAGTCATTGTCATTCTCATGCAGGCTCAGGACAGTACTCGTCTCATTATCCTGGCAGGGCAGGTCAGATTATTATTGTTATTATCGTCGACGACGACGACGGCGAAAATATTTTAATAATTTAATAATTTAATTCAAATTATTATTTTTAAATTAGTTATTTAATTTTTTGTCATCGACGGCTTGCTCAGTCAGCGCATCGTCCGGCGGTGAGGAGTCGTCTGCCACGACGACACGCCCAAAATACCGAGCAAGGTTATACTTCAGTCAGGCTGTCTGCGTGACTCGGCTGAGCACACGCCTTTCGGCGGTTTACTGCCCGGCGTCACTGTCTGTCAGTGACAGTCAGGCCGCGCCTACCATGGCAACGAGTTCGACCTTCGTCACCGTCGCCGTCGTCGTCTTTGCCACCCTGGTTGTCATTGCCGCCAGTCGTCGTGTCCTTAGACTGCGACTTAGGCTTCGGCACCTTCTTGTCGTCGTCCGCCTCCCCCTTGCCACTGCCCCCAGCCTCCTTCCGCGGCCTGTTGGTCGGCTTGGGCTTTGGCTTGGGCGCCGGCGGCTTCTGCTGGTCGTCGTCCCCGCCGCTGCAGCACTCGGGTCGATAGTGCGTCGAACCCTCGCGCCTCATCTCGTCGAAGACGAACTTCGTGAGCTGCACCTCCAGCTGCTTGCAGTGGGCCTCGGTAAGGCGCAGCCCCCAGTAGGGAAGGCGATCGCAAATTGCGGCGCGAGCCAGCTGTCCCTGCCCTGCCGACAGGTCGATGACCCCCTTGCAGGAGTGGGCCTTCAAGACCTCCCGATACAGGTCGGTCGGCAAGGTCTGGCAGCTGAACACCGACTGGCTCGACATGACGCTGCCATCGTCGGCGGCCTCATTTTTTGCCGTTGCTGCGTCAGTTGGCGTGACAGCCCGGGCGTCGCTCAAGATGGCCACCTTGTCTTCTCGGCTTGCATGCCACAGCGAGCTTGGCCCCAGCGCTTTGACGAATCCCACCATGTCCGAAGTGTTCCAGGAACCGTACGAGTCATACTGCTTCTCCGGCACCACATCTGGAATCAACGGCGACTTTGAGTAGAAAAGGAGAGTTGACCGCAGCGAGTAGCATCCCCTTGACAGCTTCTTCCTCAGGCGCATCGACTCGTCGTCGAAAGCGACGATCACTTCCTTCTCTTCAGCGTCAGGACTGGCGTCCTTTCGGGCTGATTCCGGGCGGAAAACTGAGCGGCAATCCATCTTGGACCGATCTGAGCTTATGTGGCACAGCACTACTTCGGATTCAGCTGGAACCGTGCATTCGCCTGCAGAGTTCTTCTGCCCGCCCCTGCCCACCATGGCTCCATGAATCAGCTTTCTGAGCAGGTTGTCATCCGGGTTGAAGCGCTTTCTCAAGCGCGGCTGTTGGTCAGGCCCCATCGATTCCCCAAGCAAGCCCAAGTCAAGGTGAGTGAACACCGGGCCGGCTTTCAAGTCCTTCAGCGGGCAGGTTTCCACAGCTGTCGTGACCATGTCCTGAGTCTTTGGCTCGACCGCCAAAGTGATGTAAGTCCGCAGGGTCTGATTTGCCACGGCGCGCCAGTATGGGCCTGAATTCATTGGAAAATTGTTGGGCGCCTTCCTCATTGACTCCACACACTCTGCGTCTTCATTGTCGTTCTCGTCCCCGCCGGCACCCTCGAGTTTCTCTGCGGCTTTTCTCTCAATTTCTTCATTGGCAAGTTGGGCTTTCACCGCCGCCCAGGCATCAGCGACGTCACTGAACTCCATGACCTGTTCAGGAGAGCCGCCTTGCTTGGCGGCCATTCGCATCTGATTGTCATACTTCTTGTCATAGACAAGGCTCTGAATCAACTCAAAGGCGCCCAGGCCGCTCTTCTTGAGTCTGCTCATCCAGGTGACATCGCCGTCCCCTGACGACTCTCTAAATGACTTGTGGTCACTGAGCTTTTCCTTCAGGAGCGCTCGGTCATCCGACTGCATGCCACTCTTCGGCAGCAGCTCGTCAAAGAAGTGGGTCAGAACCTGCAGCGTAGCGGTAAATGGTTGAAAACCAGGTAAACATTTGGAAAACTATATATCTGTCGGAAATGCAACGATTAAATTTAAAGTCGTATTTAACTTATTATTGCATTCCCCACTGCCACGCCTTCCACTTAGTCTCATACAGAGGCAGTAGGCCACAATGGTGCTTGTCACCCAGAAGACTCCCTTTTGAGACGTCTGTCACGTGGATGAGTCTGTTGGCGACGGCGTCGTATAGAGATTCCAAGGCCCACTCACGAAAGAAGGCGCTGGACGGCTTCTTGGCCAGCGCTGCCAAAGATGCGAGCTTGTGGAAGGGGGAGCGAGTCCCCCAGTCTTGCTCAAACGCCATCAGGAGTTCCACGCATCTTGAGGAGACAAGCACTGACTTTGAGACTGCCTGGCAATTGGCAATGAGGTTGCCTGTCACCGACCCGCTGTCATCATCATCCGCCGATGCCTTTCGGCCGGCAACAACGGATTTCAAGCCCATTGCAGTAAGTTCGCTTGCCACCTGGGCGTGGTTCATTTTCTGAGCCGCTGGGTTCGCAGCTTCGAGCATGGACCGCAGATGAGTCACCTCAATCGTGGTTTGCATACCGGTTCGGGCCATGGATTCGTGCTGCTGTAACACAGCCTGTCTCCGGTTGAACGCCGCCACTCTCAGACCTGACTGCGGCATCACCAGGAAGCTGCACGGCACACTCAGCAGCACTGATTGCCAAGTGTCTTTGTGGACAGCCCACTGGTCAGACCTGACAAATAAGTGACTGACTAAGTTAGACTGCTATACGATTATGATATTATATATATTATATATACATAATTACTTAGATCACAGACAATTAAAAACCATCGAACTTCAACTCGCCGACGAAAATTAGAGCCCAGCAGCTCGATGCAGCGCCTGCAGCCAGCGAGCAGCGCATGCACAATCTCCTCAGGGCTCACCATCTGGAGACTGCTTGGCGTCGCTGACAGCCCCGGGTTTGTAATTTGGACCTCCACAGTCTGACTTGTCATGAAGGATGGCTTCCCGTCTGGATAGTAAAATTCGGCCATGTCATTGGTTCTCTTTCTGCTTAAAGGAACACCTGGCGTGGGAGAGCTGAGAAGGCTGAGCCACCACACAGGGATTGAGCAGCGGTAGACCTCGTGGGTCAAAAGCGCTGCCTCACCTTTTGACTTGTCGAAAGGCTCCTGCACCCCAGTTCCGGCGTCATTTGTCAATGGCAATGGGCTTGCCGACTCCATGCCAGGAAACTGAGCCAAAATTCGGCGAATGTCTGACTGGACTTCCTTGTAGTAAGCGCTGTTCGTTGGATCGCTGTGGTCGCCCGGAAGCGGTGGAGAGACTGGGTCACCATCAGTCGTAGTCTTGGCACGCTTCGCTGCCGGCTTAGGCGCCGCAGCATCAGCAATGGCACCAGCCGCTCGCTTCCGGTCTTCGTTGGCCTGGGCCTTCTTTTCTTGAAGCTCCCTTTTGACGGCGTGTTCATCTTCTCCCAAGCTCACCCGCCTTTGGACTTCCGCCTTCTCGGCATTGTTGAGCCGCCAAGCCGACACGTTCTTAGGCGGCATTGTCACGTCAGCCGCTGCCAGGACCAGGTGTCGAGACGAAGACGACGTCGGCTGAGCCAAAAAAAACTGAGGGCGGCGACGGCCATGACGATTCGTCGCGACGAGTGCGTCGACGACAACGCCGACGAGACGAAGTGCGACAACAACGCCGTCATAATCACTCGTCGACGACGAATGATGATGTCTTAACTTTATTAAAGGACTGATTTCTGTTGCGTGGTTGTATGTTGTTTGGTTGGATTGCATGAAATATTATCATTGTTGTTGGTGGTCCTTACACATGATGGCGCAACGCGGTCACAAATGGCTGTGTGTCAAGCATGGCCATGTGACGTCTTTATTTAAGTTATATAGACAGACTAATATTTTTATTCAACCCCAGCCGCACAAATTGAGCTCACTTCTTTGCGCTGAGTGTCAAGGTCTGGTCTTAAGTTGCAGACAATTACAACGACGACGATGACCATCCTCCCTTTTAGAGACGATGGGAAACATCAATTTATTCCGTGCCCTTCGCTGGCGCTCGAGGTTTAAATTGCAAGCAGCAGCTGTTCAAGGTCCTGGATGGATGTCATAGCCTTCCAGTTCCAATTTGGCAGAAGCCGCTGCACATCCTGGAGCACCGAGTGCCAGTCGTCGGACCACTTCACGAACCACCAAAAAATTCGCCTTTCCCGCGGAGTCGTGTCCGTCGCCAGGTCGTCATACAGAACGTGGCCCACGGCAATCTCCATGTAGTACCCGGCCCTGCCTTTTCCGAGATTGGTGCCCAGACCAATACCTGGAATAAAGTTCCGGATCAAAGCCGGCGCAATGTAGCCGACGTGGGCTAGCTCCGGAACCCAGACTTGCGCTTCGTGGAAGAGATCGTGGCACATCTCTTGGTCAGCTGCGTCGATGGTCTGCCAGGCCCAGTGGATCCTGAGTCGCAATTCGACAGCATAGTGGGCATTCCACTGAGTGTGTCTGACAAGCCTCTGCAAATTTGCCCGGAGCTGATCCAAGTTCTGCGCCATCGCGCGCCAAGGAGTCTGAGTCGTCGGTGAAGGCCAACTTGAAGGCGGTCCCAAAATTGCACTTGAGCCCAGTGCCAGCAAGGAATAAGACATGACGAGGATCCTGCGACGATGATCGACGACGACGACGACGATTCAACGTCATGGCTGACTTTTTCGCGCAGACGACGCTGTCAGGCGGCGTTTAAGTTGATTGCCAGCCGCGGGGCCTGGCACGGTGCCGCCGACGACGGTGTCGTCGACGAGACAAGACACGACGAAGACGACGACAAAATTTGAGTGGCCCCGCCGTATGCATCGTGGCATTGTCTTGGCTGAGGCTGCCGCTGCTGCGGCGGCTGCCAAATTGTCGCCAGAGGCCTGGGGCGGCGACTTGGCCCGTCGGCGTCTTTTGGGCGGCGGCGCACCGCCGCCTGCGCTCGACGATGCTGAGGCAGTGGCCTTAGCCTTGGCCTCGGCCAGCTGCCTCCCTTGCTCCTGGCACCAACGCCAGCCATGTGTTTGGCCGGCGTCGCCGTGGCTCAGGACGACGGCAATGTGACGGGCGTCGTTGCCGTGCCGCTGCTCGTCGCCTTCGGCAACTGGGACGCGGCACCATTCACACCATCCAATTCCTTTGTCATGCTTGGCCTGTCTTAAAGGATTTTTGAATCCCGTCGACGACGAAGACGCCGTCAGATTAGACTCATCATCAGACTCGTCACTGATGTCAACGACTGCACCCTTCCAGCCGCCTTTGCTGCGTGTTGTCGACGGCCTCGCCGCCGCTGTCTCAGTCATTGCCGGGGTCGCCTTTCCTTTGCCACTGCTGCGCGCTGAGCCCACCGTCGAGGTTCCGCCACTGCTGCGTCGTCGTCGTCGTCGTGGCAAATTAGACGACGCCATTAAATTGACAGCTGCGCTCCGCCGCTTTGATCTAGACTGACTGACTGATATTATTTGAGCCAGACTTGCCGCCGGCTGTCTGCTTGACATACCATAAAATTATTTAGCCAATCATGCCATGCTTGCCGGTCCCGGCGGTCACGGTGCTTGTCTTTGTCCCATGGCCCTCACTCACGACGTCGTCTGGTCCAGGTCCATCGCCATGGCCAGCGCCTGGAGAATCGCGATGATGACCGACGACGTGGGCGACAACGACGATATTGAAAGACTCACACGCGGGACGGACGACGGTCCATCGCCGTCCGTCCGTAGACGACGACGACTCATTTGAGTCCGTAGACTTTGAGTCCGTAGACTGGGATCCGTAGATCCAGAAACAAGTCCGTTGACTGGATCCATAGATCCGCTGGCTGAGGAGTCTGAGGTTATTAAATCGTCGACGACCGGAGACGCGCGCCCCCACCTGTCAAAGCCAAGCGCCGCCGCGTCGCCGAGTTTGAGCCTGCGCACGACGACGACGACGATGACGACGACTGAACAACTTTCTGAGTGTTGAATGACTCAGACTGCCTCAGCCATATTATTATACCCTGCCAGAGCCCAGAGTCAGTCACAGTCTGACGTCACTGCCTGCGCCCGTCCTCCTCCATGCAGGTCCTGTCCGGCCGGCGGCAATCAATTATCATAAGCCTACTAAGACAGCGGAAGACTCGATCAGACTTCGTCCTCGCGCCTCATTGGTCATGTCGTCGTCTTGTCATGCCCCATGGCGAGCGTAGTCGTCATTGTCGTCGTTGTCGTGGACGACATGTCAATCAAATAAATAAAATGGCGTCGGCGCCTTGAGCCTGCAAGTGGAGCCAGCCTGCACAGACACTGTGTGACAGATTCACGTCCAAAAAATTCAATCAAATTTAGACAACGTGGGCGGGACACGCCAGTGAGATTTACCCACTACCGACTCCCGGGTTTGACCTAGGCCAGACCCGGGGCATAGGGGTGGAATCCGGTGAGGTGCGGTGGGCCCCGCAACGGCCTAGTACGCCCTGGACATTTGACACTCCCCTCTCCCGGATCTGGCCTAGGCCAAACCCGGGAGACCGGAGTGGGAAATACTCACTTCCTTCTCGCGGGCCCGTCGTGTGCCCAGGCCAAACCCGGGAGAGCGAGCGACGTTAACCGGTTACGCGACGTTAACTTGTTGCTGGCTTCCGCGACGTTAAGTGGTCGCTTTATCTCATGATGTCAAGACATATGCTTGACAATGTCTATGACAATGAATGACGACTACACTAAGAAGTGTCTACACACATGGCAAATAGCTTGTCACTCATTTCAGCAGCGCTGCGACCGGCTGGAACATTGAGCCAGTAGTCTTTGCGACTTCCCAGTGTGGCCAAGCCAGACGCGTCCAATGCCCGGCGTAGGACCGTCATCAAGCAGTTCAGCGCCATGGCGTCTCCCAAGGCAGCTGCAGCTGCCGTTGGCGCCAATCTCTCTTCCTGGCATGATTGGGCCATATTCCGCCAAATTTGGGCTGGCAAGCCTTGAAGTCTGGCACATTCAGAAGTCAGCAGCCGCCTCTTGAGCTTTGGAATGTAGAAGCCAATGACTGTGCCTTTCAGCCTTGTCCTAGTGAGGCATGGCGAAACATTGGTGAGAACACATTGGAAACGCTCAGAGGCTGCTACGTCTAAGATGTAGCCCTTCAACCACATCGCGCGACCCAAAAGCCGCTCATATTTGGGAAGCTGCAGCACTTCATTGCCAACCTTGTCTTTGTCCAAGAAGCAGTGGAGGTCGCTGGCAGTCAACCTTGGGCCCGGAAGAGTCAGCTCCTGCGCCAGACTTTCCTGGACGACTGCAAACAAATAGAGTCTGTCGCGGCTCTGTGGAATCCCGTAGTCCTTTGGGCTCATGACACGATACTGCACGTAGTAACTCAGGGCATTCAATGTCTTCAAGATAAATTCCCAAACTTTGCGATGTTTCTGGTGCGTCATCAATGCAGCGACTTGCTCCAACACCACAACTCTGGGACGTTGCGCTGCTATGTATAGTAGCCCCTTCAATGTCACTAACCCTCGACAGTCTTTCGGACCAAGTTGCTTGCCCAGTTGTGAGTATGAAGGGCATGGGTAGCCGGCCACATATAAATCAGCTGATGGGGCGGACAAGTCGTCCCGGGCTAGGACATCCGTATAATGGCGGGCACCCGTGGTCGAGATCCCACACAAACGAGCCACGGCCCCGTGCAAGACAGTCTTGTCGACGTCACTGTCCGAAGACATGACGCATTTGACACGGCGCCTCAGCCCCAAGAGCGTGAGGGCGATGAGCTCGGACCCATAACCCGTGCAGTCGCTGGCGACTCGAAAACTATCCTTGGGCATCGGCGTGGAATGTGGTGACAGCCGCTGGCGCCAGGTTGCAGCCATGGAATTCACTTTGACGACAAGCTGCTTGATGTCATACTTCTGCACTGGCACGGATCGGGCAGCTTTGAGGGCGAACTTCCTGGTCTTATACTTCGGCGACCCCGCCGGCGGCATGGCGACAACGGGCCCCTGACGTCTCACAATTGAGCCTCCAGGCGCACCGCGGCGACGACTTCAAGTAAGCACTGAGTGTCGTCGTCGACGGACGACGACCAAAAATCTCATGTTATCGGCCCGCAGTTTTTCCCCTGGCGATGTTGCGACCTAAACTAACTAAGTCTGTTCACTCCACGCGTGCTTTCACGCGCATTGTGCCACTGTTTAAACGACATTTGGAAGCCAGCCAAGCAACAAAAGCGCTGCCAGCAAAACACAGCACGCCCCTGAATCCGCCTAACCCCTCAGCGGATTCGCTTGCGCCGCGCAGAATCAAAGATGGCTTCCTTCCCCGACCTCTCAGCCCGTCAGCCCCGACAGCTTGCCACCCATTGGAACAAGCGTGTCGAAGAATCAGCGTCAAACCGGGTTCCTCGCGCTTGAACTCATCAGTGACATAGACTGCCACTGGCAAATCTAAGCCTCGACTGAAGGTGACCTTGACGCCAGGCCGTCCTTCAAGCACCCCTCCTGACAGGATGACCCCGCCTCTCAGCGCGGCCATGGCACGCACCTTCCTGTGAACAGCCGTGAAGTCATTGACGAGGTAAAGGTCGCCCTCTCGCAAGTCCTTCGTCGTCGTGTCAATAAAAAAGCGGCGGCGGCAAATCGTTCGACGACGACGACGACGACAACAACAACAACAGCAGTCAGTCCTCCACGACACTGAACCCCCCCATTCGTCTCAAATGGTTGGTCCATGACTCAGCGGACTCCACGCCAGTTTGAACCCAAACCCGGCGAGGCAGGTCTTTCAAGGCTGTCTCGTGCGGCGCTTGCCTACTTGTCTTCCTGACTGCCTCATACTCGTGGAATTTGTTTCCGCGAGACTTGTCATTGGCCAAGTCCTGCTTTTGCTTTTTAGCTGCGTAGGCTTCAAGGCCTGGCGTAATTTCCTTCGGTAAGAGATACCCGTCGCCCAATGCGTCTGCCTTCCTTTTCTTCTCCAGAGCCCGCTGACGAGACTCTTCCTTGGCCAAAGACTCTGGCAGCTCCAACGGAGGCCTCCTCGGCGGCGTTTTCAACTCCTCAGCAGCCTTGGCCACTGCCGCCTTCCTTGCTCGATGCCAGGCTGCCTGCGACCCTGTCGATCGACGAGTCTGCCCTTTTGGGACACCTTCGTCTATACGACGCTTGCCGGGCTTTCTCCGATAGCTGAGCTGAGACTTCAGCATCGCTGTATAGATTCGCTGCCCGCTTTGCAGGATCTCGTCCTCCTCCGGCTGAGTCAAGTCGCCCATGCCCATGACGACGCAAAGCCGCATGTCCGTCACTTCCATTGACGACGTCAGCTCGACCGGGCTCCGCTTGACTTTGCTGAAAAGCTGCTCCACGCCCGACGTGGAAGGAGTCCATGCCAAGTAGCCACACAAAACCTCCATGCCATGTCCAAAATATGACAGGTCCTAACTAAGATCAATATATCAAACCTACTAAAAAAGTACCAGGCCTCAAGCAGAGCTCCGCAATGACGAGTCCGACGGGCCCGGCCCCCTTGTTGCAGCGCAGCTTGCCATGCAGCACGGTTGCTGCGCTCGCCCACCTTGTACAGCTGCGTCGCAATTGGTAGCAGCGCCGCGTATTGCTTCTTGAGGTCCGGGAGTCGGACCTTGAAGCAATTGGCAAGCTTCGCCAAGCAATCGTCTAAGTGATCCGGTGGCGCGCTTGCTCGCCGTTCTTCAAGGTGAAAGACATCGAAGCAACTGAGGATGTGCCAGTCGGGAAACTCCGCGGCTAAGGTCGATTCCGCAGCTTGCATCCATTCCTTTCCGGCCGGGCCGCCGGATAATTTTTTGAAAAATATCGTCATTATATATTTTTCGTCAAGCCCTGCCTGGAAAACCTTCAAGACTGCTGCTTTGTCCTGCTCCGTCACCTGTACTTGCCGAGGGGCATCGCCGCTGCTCATGACTGTGAGTGGCTGGCCCTGAATCTGGTCCAGCATAGTCTTGGTGTAAGTCGGTAGGCTGAAGACTTTCTTTTCAGTGAAGAGCGCATGGCCAGCAAGGAGGAAGCTTTGCGCCCTGTAATTGATTTGGGCTATATCAGCTGACTCAGTATCCATGAACCGGCAAAAGTCCATCACTGTTGCCGCAGCGTCAGATGCCATTGCAATGGCCAAAGCTTTGCGGCCAGTAAATGACTTCAATATGCTGGTCGCCCAGGAGCTGCCAGAACCACGCACTGCTTCAATGCGTTGGCAAGTGTTCAGCATAGCCTGGAGGTTCTTCGATAACTTACTAAGCGGGTTCAGCAGGCTGCCGAACCGACGCTTGGCCGCCGACAGGTTCGCCGAGTTTTTGCGGCGTGGCTCGCCGCCCTCATCATTGGCATCATCTGAGCCTGGCCCCGTAACCTCTTCATTCCACCACATTGCGAATAATGACGAATTTCGAACTTTCTGACTGAAGGAATCAGAGGCTGAGACAAACTCGTCCATGATGTCATTGATAAATGCGTGACTTGTGAAAGGGTTCTTCAAGACTCGCGTCGCTGCGTGGGCACCGTCTCTGCCGACTACCCGGACGTTCTTAAATTCGCTTGCCGGCGCCCTGTGTGCAGCGGCAGCCCCCCTGCGGCGGCCCCGCAGCTGTTCTGAACTTAAGAGCTCGTTGGGGGCGGCGTCAGTGACCAGGAACTGGACGTGGTCCTTGACATGACAGGCCAAGGGCGTACCCTGTGGCCCGTCAATTTGTGGTGAGTGGCAGTCTCGCGGCAAGCCTCGACAGGGAGTCCAGAAGTCAGTCACTGCCCTGAGAGTCACTTGCGCAATGGAATCCGCAGATCCCTCAACCCCCTTAAGGCCGAGAACGCCTTGCGTAACAGTCAGGTCGTCCAAGCAAGCTCGGAAGCGCAAGAGTAGTCGGCCTTTCCGCTCGTCCCTGAGAAGGCATATACTTCGGGCTCGCATGAGATCACTCCGGTGCTTGGCCAAAACGGCTTCACTGAGGGCAAAGCGCATTTTGGTCTTCTTGTCTGAGGCCACGCCGCCTTGCCTTGCACTTCCGCCTTGCCGCATGTGTTTCAGCATGGCGCGAAGTTCATCCAAGTCAGGGCCGCTGACTTGCTTCCGAGCTGCCGCGACATGGCTGCGAGACGATTCATGTCGCCGAATGACGTGCTGCGTCAGACGGGCAGGGCTTTGCTGAAATTCTGCCCATGGGCCTGACAAGTTGGCAAGGGCGCAGTCGGTGCAACCAAGTCCAACGTGTTTCTTGCTCATCCCCAGCTTCAGCCACTTGGGCGGGTTGTGAGCCGTCTTCTGGCCGAACTCATGCCATTGACAAACCCTACACCGGGACTTCTTACAAACCTTCACATGCTCTGAGATGAGGCGCTTTGGCAGTAAGGACGGAAGCTGCCGGGATGTCTTAGGGACGGTCATTGTCGTCCGGCGGGCTGAGCCACAATGGCTGGAAACGACGAGACGTCGTAACTGCACGCAAGCTTAAATGGTCAAATCAATTTAAAAACTCAGCATTAAAAAAGCATAGAGGCGCGCCATTTCATCGTCCTGGCACATTGTCAATGCTTTGGTCGGCAACGCCGGCGACGTGGCTTTGATGACGATGGCGGGGCGTTGGGTTTCCGACCACGAGGCTTCTTAGACTTTTCCACCGTCGTCGTCGTGAGCGCGTTGCTTAGCTTAAGCCAAACAACTGCCCCCTGGCAGTGATTATATTTGACCGGAGTCGTGTATTTCTGTGGATTCCGCAGAACCCACGCAAAAATTTTCTTATAATTCAAGACTGATGCCAAGTCTGTAGTCGGAATCTGGTGCTTGTCAAAATGCTCGGCGATCTCTAAATGCCTCACTGGCACACAGTCAACGACGTCGACCTCGCCAATGACATGCTGCTTGCCAGTCACAGCCAAGCCGATTCGGCCGCGGAGCGCTGTTCGGCGGCTGCGGATCTCCCACTCTTTCTCGCCGGCCGCAATTTTCAATGCCCATTTCTCATGTAGAAGCAAGGCGTGTTTTAAAGGCATGACAGTGGCGAGGATTTGACGACACGGCGGCACTGCCAAGCTGAGCACTGACTGACTGAGCCTGAGTCAAACCGAGCATGGCGGGGCGCCCAATTTTGAACCGGGGCGGCCGCGTCGTTGAATTGTGTGAAATTGTCATCCTGGATTTCGACGACACGACGACGACGATGTCAGGTCGGAACTCATGCATGCATATACTATATTATACTAAGATTGCCGGCGCGAAGACGGCTCTGACAACGCACGACGACTCTTTTAAAAACCGGCGCAGGCTGACTGAGCGGCAGTCGTCATTTTGAAAGCGCCCTCACTGTTGCCAGCCACATCTTACATAGCAGGGCCTCACTGTCACCGTCTGGATCCGGGCCCTTGTCATCGAAGCGGTCCACCTGAGCCCGTGGAGGCGGCGGCGGGGTGTCGGCTTTCTGCCGCTTAGCCTTCTTGGCGTCGTCTTTGCCGTGTTTCTGGGGCCCAGGATACATGGCGTCCTTCGACTTCCACAGTGCCGCCGACATTTCCTGGCCTTTCGCCTTGGCTTGCTGCCATTTGTCAAATTTGCCGGAGTTCCAGAGCTGCCATGTCAGGTGAAAGGCCGACCTGACATGTTGGTAGTGGCCGGCTTGACCACCCCCAACTCGTCGGCCACACACTTGACACTCATAAGCGTCAGCGGCGGCGGGCGGCTCTGACTTGGCAGCCTCAGCGGGATGGTGTCCGCCGCCGTCCTTGGACGACGCGTCACCAGCGCCGCCATCAGCCTCAGCAGCAGGGCCGGCGTCCTTGGACGCCCCCGCCGCAGCAGCGTCAGCCTTAGCCACCGCCTCCTCCTTGTCGGCGATCTTGTCATTGTCGTCGCCGTCATTGTCGTCGTCGTCGTCGTCGTCGGACGACGACGACGACGAAACGACTTCGGCGCGTCGTTTCGGCCCTGGCAAGTTAGCGCGGCTGCGGCGGCGTGGGTCGGCGTGCAGCCCTGCAGTGTGGGCGGCGGTGACGGGAGCCTCGGTCGTGGACGGTCCCGGTGCTGCAGGTGTCAACGTCGGCTTGTCGTCGTCCAGGACCTCGTCGATGTCGTCATCCTGGCCACGACGCCGTCGGCGGTCGTGGTCTCCGCGGCGGCGGTCTCGGCTGCGTCGTTCTCGGTGGCCATCGTCGTCATCATCGTCATCATCTCGTCGTCGGCGACGACGATGGCGGTCGTGAGTCGGCATGACCTGACAGGACGATGCCGGAAAAATAAAAATGACAGACTAGTCTGACAGTCGAGTCGACGACGACGATAAATAACTTTTAACCCGCCGGGTCCGTAGACGATATGGACCGCGTGTCCGTAGACACCCGGGTTTATAGTTAGACAGCTGGGTCCGTAGACCTGATATGGACCGCGTGTCCGTAGACACCCGGCTTTATAGTTAGACGACAGCTGGGTCCGTAGACGACCAGGTACCGTCGTCGCGTCCGTAGACACATGGCCGGGTCCTTAGACCGTCAGGTTACTCGACGACGCCCGGGTCCATAGACCCAGGTCAGTGGTCTGAAACACCCGCGCGGCGGCGACGACACGACGACGACGATGACGAACCCGACCCACGCGCCCACCCACACCCGTCGCGCCTCGGCGGTCGACGACGACGACGACAATCGCGAAGCCCCCGGTGCTTGAGCCTGCAGACTGCAGATGACGGCGTTCCTGGACTGACAGCCGGCAGTCAGACTGATACGAGACTCGGCCGGTCAAAAAAATTGCACGCGGCGGCGACTACGACGTTTTGTCTGAGCGGCGACTCGTCGTCGGTCAGAGTCAGACTATCAAGACTCAGTCAGTCTAATACCCGGCGCCTATTCCTACTGCAGCCTGGGTCGTCGTTGAATCGTCAATGATTGTTGACTCCCCTGAGCCTGGCAACCCTGACCGCCGAGTCCGTAGACTCCGGTCCAGGGCGGCGGGGAGTAGGTCGTGACATCGTCGAGGTAGCTGCCATGGCCCCCGGTCCCAGCAATTGACTTTCAGGCGGACGCCGATGATGTTCGTGGACGGCTTGCCAAGCCCTGTCCAAGTTAGTGACTTGTGTGGGGGCATGGTCCGGCGAGACTTCCAAGGCAGCTGTCACCTCTGCCTTGCGGTCATTTTTAAAGTCAGTAACCCGATCAAAGAAATCGCGCAAAAATGCCGAAATTTCGTCAATTTGCCCCTCGGTGATCCCCAAGTCAGCGCGGAGCTGCTGGTCCTCCAAATTGTCAGTAACGTCGTCCCAAGCCACCACTGCATTGAGGGCTAATGCAGTCAGAGTCGCAGCACGTTCCAATTGATTCAACGACTCCATTATTATGGTTTAAAGCCCGCCGATGCTGCCTGAGCCTAAGACGCAGCAGCGGCGAGAGATTATATTGCCGGCGCGCGCCTGCGACGACGAATACAATTATAAAAATAATAAAACTATTATATTAAAGCTAAGTCGCGCCCGGCGCACGCCATTGAAAAATGTATTCGTCGTAGGCGCGCCATGGCGCGCGCCCGGCGCGTGCCCGATAATTCAAATGCATTCGTAGGGGCGCGCCCGGCGCGCGCCGAAGGCGCGCCGGGCGCGCGCCACTGTCAAATTTGTGGGCAGGTGGACCGACAGTGTCGTGTGTGGGAAGTGACTAATATTAAAGACTAATTAATGGCAACCCAATGGCAACAAAATGCGACCAAAGGCAACCAAAATGCAACCAAGCCAACCAAAAAATTGACAACCAGGATGCAACCAGCCACAACCAAAATGCAACCAGTGGCGACCAAAATGCAACCAGTGGCAACCAAAAATGCAACCCAAATGCAACCAGTGGCAACCGAGATGCAACCAGTGGCAACCAAAATGCAACCAATTGGCAACCAAAATGCAACCAGTGGCAACCAAAATGCAACCAGTGGC